GAATAAAGATTATCATTCACTTTTTTAAATGAATGAATATTGGCAACCACACTGATAACTTGAAATTTTGTATCTCTTTGTCTGTAATAATCAACTTCTTTTTCTGACGGTTGTATGAAAAAACCAAGCTGCGTTTTACTTACAAGCTCTCTTGTCTTGGGCATTATCCCAATCAGTGTCATTAAATCTATGTTTAAATATGCAGGTAATGAAGCATAGTTGAACTCTGTCGGAACTTTTGGAAGTTTGGTGTAAAACTCATTCTCCAAAAGTTGCTTAGGTCTGTTTGTTATAAGCTCATTATCTAAAATCATAGTCGGGTCTTGAAAAATTGCAGGCAACACGCTAATTTATGTTATAAGTGTAAATCGCCTAAGGCTTTTCTTCGTAGTAAGTCGTTTATTAGCGTTTTACGTTGTGTATAGCTATTAGGCTAATCGATTATTTATCCCTCCAAATGAAAATTACCAGCCAGGATACGAGTCGAGCCGTTTTTAACCCTCCTTCTTCAGAAACAAATAAAGATTAAACAATGACAACAAAAAACCAATAGAAGAAATCACAAGCGCCAGCCAGAAACCGACAAGACGGTAATGGGTCAGCTTAAGCCGGGCCATCAGTAATTTTTCCTTCTCAGACATGGCCAGTTTCTCATTCATGGGCGCTTTGGATTTATCTTTAATACACTGCCCTTCTTTTAGAAACCCCTCGTACCCGCCTTTAATCATCCAGTACTTGCCGAAATTTGTAATAGCCAAAACGGTATGAACCTCGTCTGTGTAGTGAGCGAGTTTATCTTTTACAAGTTGATCAGCCCAGCATTTTGATTGCGCAAATTCTTCCTGACCGGGCGAAAAGCGTAAAGCGGCAAAATCAAAAACATTTAACTCGCCGGTTTTATATACCGCTTCAAGCAACTGATGAAGGTATTCTTCTTTAAGCATAACGATTGTTGATGGGTGAACTGCTCAATCCCTCCTTGCATTACGTATGAACTGTTCTTTTATGTCCTTGTCATTTTCTACCAGTTCATAAAAAGAATGGATGTATCGCAGCATTTCTTTTTGGTTCACTTTGTTTAATCCTTCGCAATGCATCACCAATGAATCGATGGCACTACGATTGTCCTGGAAGATCCGGATGGCTGATTTCAACTCTTCCATCTCTCTTGGAAAACCCCGGTATAGACGTTGTCTCACGCTGGTAATACCCAGGTCGGGCGTCGGAGCAGCATAACTGGCATTTACTACACCACAACCATCAAAATCAAAAGGCACCATATAAACGAGCGAAAGAGTATCACTCCCACTCCGGATCAGTTTAATGTTATGATACACGGGAACGGACCAGTCGGTATTACCTACCATATATTGAAAGAGCCCAACCAGTGTAGCCTGCTCTCGACATGTTTGCTCGGTGTTCACCCTGATATTTTCCACTTCCTTACCGTCATTTCTTTTTGCCAGGTCGTCGACATCTTCAATAAAAAAGCCAAAGGCGGGCCTTGGCTTGATCTTATCGCTTATGTCCCTGCAATCGACCTGGACCAGCCTTACACGAAAACTTTTATCGGTAAGCAGGTTGTACATCTTATAGACAAGGTATTCCTTCAATACCAACTGCTCGTAAGATGCGGAGAAATCGCAGGGCCAAACCAATTTCAGCCGGCCGAGTTTCCGAAAAGCAGTAGCGCCCGGTGTTTTAAAATCGATGGTTATTGGAGGCATGTAACACTCTTCACGCCTGAAATCACCTCTCGGTCTTATTTCCACTGATGCCTTTAATGTATCATAGCCGGGAAAGACACAACTGATGGTCGCCGGCTGGAAATTGAGTTCGTAGTGTTTGTCCATTTTACCATTGATCAACTGCCGTACGTCCGTGGTAAGAATCATTTTAAAAGGCTGCTGATCAGCGAAAAAGCCATTTTTATCAACAACCAGTGTCTGGGCAAAAGTGTATTGAACAACCAGCAATAGAAGCGCGGGGACAAGGCGAGTAATCGTTAACATAGTGAATGTATCTAAACGGAGCAGTGTCAGATACGGGGGTAAAACTAGAAAGGTGGTGCCGGGTTAGATATGACCACTGTCAACCGCGGGATAGATTTTAGTTATAGTGCCTTGTTGCGGCTTTTTGTTATTTGGCATCCCGAAGCGGCATAGATAACGTAAGCGGGTATTCACGCACCGTGTTGGTAATGTGAATATCTTTTGCTTACTACGAGGACACTGGCATAATTTTTACCTTTCATTGATCAAAACCAATCCCATGATCCGTACAAACGCTACAAATGCTACAAAAAAGCTGGTGCTTCGTTTCGTTCTGGAGAATATTGAGTATAAGAAAAGGTGCGTGTACCTGCAGGAGATCATTTCAATGGGAAAGGTAAACGATGTCTGGCGGCAAGCCCTTGCTGCTTTTTTTGATACCCC